TATATAACCACCTACACATTCATATGAATGATAAAACATAACTAGAGTCCAGAAAGAGAGAGGGAAGAAGAGAGAGAGAGAAGGGAAGGGGGGAGATTGGGAGGAAGCAGGATATTTGAGGGGACCTCACCTAACGTGCATAATGCAATGATACACTTCAAACTATTAAGAATAGAGTATAAATGTCTTACCACAAATAAGTAAGCAAGGAGATGGTTATGTTAATCAGTTAGATGTAAGCATTCCACATTGTATATCAAATCAGCACATTTTACCCCAAAATGCATTAATGTATACAGTTATGATTTAATAAAAGAGAAAATAATTAGAACTATACGTATTATATGATTAAATCTCAAAAACAATATTTATATAAAGTTAACAGTACTACATTTTGTTTATAAATATACAGAAATATGTAAAAAGAACAAAATCATGGATGAGAATAACACTAAATTTAGGATATGTTTACTCTTGGGCAGGAAGTGAAAGGAACAGAATCAAAGCAGCAACAGGACCATGTTTAATTAAAAAATAGACAGATCTCAAGAAAATGCAGCAAAGCATTAAGACTTAAAGCTGGATGATGGGCATGTGAGTGTTCATTACATTATTCTTTCCAGCTTTCTAATGAAGAAAAGAATACTCTTGGTGGCAGTATGAAAAAAGAACTACGGAGGGGAGCGGCAAAATAGAAACAAAGAGGGCAGTCAGAATACTTTTGACATCTAGTGAGACATTACAGAAGCTGACCTGAGAGATAGTTCGAAAACAGTCAGCAGGATTAAGTGGCAGATCGGACATGAGAAGTTAAACGCAAAGGGGCAATTCTGGCTTCAATGTAATTCTTCCTTAAAATAGGGAAGTAGGAAGAGAGGGTTTTAAAAGATAGTGAGTTCCTTTTTGGAATAAGTTTGAAAGACCCATTCAATATTCCTGTGGAAAAATTCAATAGAAAGCAAAATGCAAAGGTGTAATAGCACAGGTTCTGGAGTCAAGTACCCTGGGTTCAAATACAGTTAATCACATTAATTAACCACTCCAAACCACAGTTTTCATGTCTATAAGAAGAGAAGATATTAATAAAAATCACTATTTTCATAGCATTTTTATGAGAATGAAATTAGATAATGCCTCTCAAGTTCTGATCAAAGTATTCAACACAGACATCATTCTAAATATATATGGTTACTACTGACAAACACTTCTTTGTCACTAATAGAACTTATTTCTATCAAATATGCCACTTAGAACTCTTCAGTGATTCTACTTTTGTGACTTAAGCACTGATTTCTACAAATTATATTCTGCTGTCTAGACTGGCTTTTATAAAATTTTCAAGATACCTGATACTATACCTTATTTAGAACTGCTGAATAATTTCACTCATCAGCATCATCTCCCAAGTCAAGAATATACTCTTTATCATTTGAAAGTATTATACACAATATCTCAGTCTGATTCCTATAGAATTCTGAGAGAATTCCCTCAGAACTCTTTTTATATTTTTTATATATCTCCTTTTTTTTTCCCACTAGTTAAGTAGAAAACATAAAAGCAATACACCAGATTCTTGGGGATGGTAACAACAAACGGGACAGAAATTGTCCTAACCAAAATTATACTCTATGCTACATACATGTTTTACTAACACAACAGAGTGTAATAAACACTACATACATGTTTTACTAACAAATACTTACAACAAAGTGTAATAAACAGGATAAATAGGGTACTATAGAACACAGACAAAAAGAACTCTCCCAGAATTTGAGAGTTAAGAAGGGTATCCTAAAGGATAGGTCATCTCTGATGTGAGAGTAGCAGAATAAGGCACAAAAGTGAAAGCAGTATTTTAAAAAATAGTGTCTGAAGCAAAATGTTTTCTTCTAACACTTAGTACCAAGAGCACAGAATGCTAAGGAAGCTAACAAAAGTTTAAGTTTAGCACGCATAAAGTATGCAGTGCAAGTACATGTACAGAATACTGAAGCATGAAGCTCAGACATATGCAGAAAAGAGATTACAAAAAACCTTTTAAGTCATACTCTACATGATGAAATTAAATGAGATAATGATTAAGAGAGGTTAGCACAGTTCCTGGTACAAAGTAAGTGTGCACTAATTGTTTAACATTATTCACTAACTACTATCTAATACTCTCCCTCTCCTAGGCAGTATCACTTGAGTCCAGGAATTCGAGGCTATTATAAACCATGATCCTGCCACTGCTTTCTAGTGTGGGCAACAGAGCAAGCCATTATCTTACAAAAACGAACTGATAAAGAACCCAAAACCCAAATCAAAAAACTCCCACAATTTGGAATCACACAACACCCTCACCAAGAAATATTTTTCTGTTTGCCAGAAAAATAGTATATATAATACTTACTAAATGTCTTAAAGAATCTGCCCTTTCATTAGTAAAATGGAAACTGTAATACCAATCTTGTAGGTCTACTGTAAGGAATAAAGTGAGCATGATGAGTTCCTACAAGAGTGACCCGCCCAAAAAATGGTTCCTATTAAGACAGATTGGCAGACAAGCCAGAGAAATTAAAAAATGAAGATTTAGCACCTATGACTCAGTGAGTAGGGTGCTGGCCCCATATACGGAGGGTAACGGGTTCAAATCCGGCCCTGGACAAACTGCAACAAAAATAAATAGCCAAGCATTGTGGCGGGCACCTGCAGTCACAGTTACTCAGGAGGCTGAGGCAAGAGAATTGCCTAAGCCCAAGAGCTAGAGGTTGCTATGTAAGTTGTGATGCCAGGACACTATACAGAGGGTGACAAAGTGAGACTCTGACTCTTAAAAAAAAAAAAGGGAAAATTTAGTGGCTCAGCGCCTGTCGCACAGTGATTACGGCGCCAGCCACATACACTGAGGGTGGAGGGTTCCAACTGGGCCCAGGCCAGGTAAACAACTGCAACAAAAAAATATCCAGGTATTGTGGCAAACACCTGTAGTCCTAGCTACTTGGGAGGCTGAGGCAAGAGAATCGCTTAAGCCCAAGAGTTTGAGGTTGCTGTGAGCTATGATACCACAGCACTCAAACAAGGGCAATATAATGAGACTCTGTCGCAAAAAAAAAAAAAAAAAAAAAAAAGTGGGAAGATTTAAGCACATTTTGACGTTATGTGACAGCAATGCCTTAGAAATAAAGTCACCTTAGGACTAACTCCCTTTGGTAATAGGATAAGATGCATGCACTGAAACTACTAAAATTACAAGAACATGAATCAATATCATGCTCATGATGTGTTTTATTTCCTAACACACATGCTTTTTCAAAAGAGAAAAACTAATATTCTACACTTTTTTCACAATTACTCTGTATTAAAAATTTTACATATATACACACATACATAAAAGTTTTGAAAAAACCTTCCGTAACCCCCTTGTCCCAAAACAGCTAGTTTCATTTTACATATTTCTTTCCAACTAACTTTAAAAACAATAATTAGAAGGCTTTTCTACTCCATATTATACTGTTCTTACTTGAGACTCAAACTAAATAGATATTGGATCTGTAATGGTTCAGAGTACTTACTTTTGCAAAAGCAAAAGAACAAAATCTCTGGGTACATTAAACAAGACAATTTAACATAATTAAATTTATATTCAACCTTCAAGAAGCACATCTGGGATTTAAAAAGAGGCACCCTGTAAAAATTTTATAGCATGTAATTTTTGTCTCATTCTAATTTATCTTACTGACAATCTAAAACATTTACTTCTAGCTACTCTTTTAAAATTCTTCCAAGTGAATCTCATTCAGCACCTCTAAAATCTAAGGAAAGTTTACTGATGTTAAACTGCAATAAAATATCATAATATTTTGAGTAGGGAAGTATCAAGCTATATCACTTCTTTAACAAGTGAAGAAAATTTTACCTGGGATAAAGTAAAAAATGATCTTAAAACCAAACAGGTATCACTTCACACTACAATTATTATTACCAGAAAATCATAAATGAACTAAAGGTTAAGTTAAATTTCCTAAAATAAAGAAACTCAATTCACTATAAAAAGCTTACTTTAGAATTTTCAAATGTAAAATCTTTCAACCTTACTAAAACTATAAATTCAAAGGAGTTAGGACTTTTTACAGAGAAGAAATTTACTACTACAGAAAAAAGAAAAAAATTCTCATGAATCTCAGTGTCTTAAGTACCACTAAATATCTGCATAGAGTTCACACAAATCTCTGTAACAATCCCTCACTATACCTCAAGATCAAGTCACTTAAATTTGGTGATGCTAAACATCAATTATTATACTATGAGCATTTCCTACAATATGGTATTTAGGTGCAGTCTCGGAAGGAAAGATTCTCCTAGTCCTCATTATTTAACATGTAAAAATGCCAAGGAATGAGTAAATTATACTGAAAACCACATAAATAAGTATTCAAAAAAATACCAGAACTACTAAAACAGGGTAAAATTTCTATTTTTAGTCTTGAAATATAATATAAGGTAAAATCCATTAGTATTTAAAATAACTAATGACTACCAATGTAAAAAATACTACCTTTGTCAACCAATCTTCAAAGAAAATTGTAAATCTAGGTATCGAACAAGCCAATTAATCATACTGCATTTCAATACCAATTCATTAACTGATAAAATACACTTCTCGTGAAGAAATTTCTCGAATATATCATTTAGCTTAAGGCTGTCGAGCATACATTTTTTCTTCTCCGATAACATTTTTAGAAATCTCTAGTAAACCTACCTTTGAGGTTCTTTGAAGTTGATCACCAACATATGTTTTACGAAACTGATCCAAGAACCACAGAATTGCAAGCTCTATTTTCTCATTTGAAGACTGAGGCAATCCACTATCCATTAAAGATATAAGCTGAAAAACTCTTTTCATAAAAGAAAGAAAAAAGCTTCAGTACAAAATCTTAGAAAGACAACAATAAAACATTTATCATAAATTCAATATATAATCACTGTAAACATGAGAAAGTACAAACGCATATACAAAATATATTTTTTAAATCATCTGAAATCCTACCACTGAGACTTCAATTTAGACTGACCTTCTAGCCTCTTTCCCTAAAACATATGGGTGAATACAAACCTGTATGTAATACAGATATTATTTTACTAAAGTTTTAGGGATAAATGCACAGCAGACATATATACAAGTATTATACATGGACATTAGTAAATATATGTATGCGTAAGTTTTTAGTATAAGAATAATGGTACTGAATATATAGTTCGGTATTTCACTTTTTTATTTAACCTTGTGTTTCTAAATAATTAAATATTTGGGGATCACATAACTCAAAATTTTACTGACACGCCTATAAAAGTTACATCTTAAAAAGTAATAAAATTTTGCCTAACATAACAAACATCTTAACACCTTTTGTTAAGATAATCTTAACAAAACAAGAAAGTTTCTAGTAACAAACTATTAGTTATTACCAGAAATCCATGAATTTTCTATTTATTAGAAACTATTATTAGAAAATCATAAATGAATAGAAAGTTAAGTTAATTTTTCCAGAGAAAATGTTTAATTCAATATAATATAAAGCTTACTGAAGAATTTCAAGAAAGAAATCCATAAATATTACCCATTTTAAGATTTTCTAATGGAGGCTACCAAGCGCTTTGCATTAACAAAATCAGCACATCATAATAATTTTTTTTAAGAGAAAGAAGTAGAGGGTATTGAGAAAGCATCAGCCTTTTATAATTTGTACAAAGACAGCTATGCCTAGTCCTGACACACCCAGTTCCTTCCAACGTATGCATTCATTGTTAACAGTTGTCATTGTCCAACGTTTGTACGTAGGTACAAGCAAATATGACTACTCTTCTACCAACTCTTGTGAACACATGGAGCATACTACACATACGGTTCTACTCCTAGCTTTTTTCTACTTAAGTATCTCTTAGAAATCTTTCTATAACAAACATAAAGAGATGTCTCATTCTGTTGTGCAGCTGCTTAACAGTCCATTACATGAATGTACCTTGGTATTTTCAAACACTCCTCTACTGACAGACAGTAAGATACACAATTTTTTTGCTGTTAAAAAAAATTGCAATTAACAATCTTGTACCATGTCATTTTACATATCTATATTTATAATACAGATTCCTATATTATATTATATTGTGGCACAAACCGTATAAACTGTTATCGTTTCAACAGCTAAAAATAAATTGTCCTACATAAAAATTGAAATAATTTATACTCCTACCATCACTTCAGGAGAGTGCTTATATATATGCAAATAATTCAGTCTGCTATGAAATTTTAGAATTTCTGGAAATCTGAAAAACAGTACCTCATATATATCTCTTACATGCATGAGCTTAAAAGTCTTCCATGTTTTTTAGGCTATTAAGTATATCCCTTCTGGTGCCCTGCTGGGCCACGTCCTTTGCCATTTTTCACCACTGGGTTGTCAGTTTATTACTGATTTGTACACATTATTTATATACTATATTAGAGAGCTGACCTCTTTGCCTATAATTGTACTGACTTTAATTAGCTTTATTGTTTTTCATTTGTTTCTTAAATTTGATTATAGTTTTTTTAAGGCCCTGCAGAAGTTTTTGTTCTATTTCTTCCACAGAAAAAATTTTAACCAGTGTTTTTCTTTTATAGATTTTGCATAATGGCAAGCAAGGTCTTACCTGAGTCTAAGGTATTATGTTTCATTTCTTTTTTACTTTTACCTGTATGACATGATTGGGTTTAACTTTATATATAGTGTGAGACAAGGATCCACTAGTATTTTTGCCAGATGGCTACCTAGTTGTTTTAATATTAGTTCTTTCTTGTATAGTTTATCTTTTGCTCACCATTCTGAAGTACGTGTTACCATATCCAAATATACTAGGATTCATTTATGCTATCAGATTATTTATTGGACCTTTTATTCCTTTCCACAATCCATCATGCTAAATATATCTTGACCAGTATTTCTAGTAATATTAAATAATTTTCCAAAGCACTGTTTTTAATGGTTAAATAAAACTAACACTATGTCAAAATTTAACTCATCTCATTTTGAATAAAATTTCTTATTCCCATATGAAACATAACTTCTATCCTCTCTCTACTCCCAAAGATGTCTAGAAACAAAATGTCTAGGTAGACAACATACGAGCTTTTTAAAAAACTTTGTGAATACTGTCAAAGCATTAAGAAAAAATTATTTTAAGAAGCATTTTTATAGTGATTATTTCCTATATTTTAAAATTCAGCTACTTATTTAAAAGTACATTTCACTTACCAAATATCCTTAATACCACTAAGATTTATGGAGAACTTCCTAACAAATTAGATTTAAGAATTTGATTGCCATAATCAGATTTTGGGTTTTATCCCTACAATGTATCATTTAGCTTAAGGCTGAAAGGAGGGACAAAGATAACTTTAAAGACTATGTACCATTAGCAGATTGCTGAAGTAAATAAATTAAATAAAGATACAAAAGCAAACTTCATCTCAGAATCCGGGTGATTTGTCAACTGACTTAAATTATGTATATCTTACTTTTAAGTTATTTATTAGGTAGGACCTCCCTTTTACTTTTTTTTTTTTTTTTGAGACAGAGTTTCACTTTGTTGCCCTCAGCAGAGTGCTGTGGTGTCACAGCTCACAGCAACCTCAAACTCTTGGGCTCAAGCAATTCTCTTGCCTTAAAGGCCTCTCCAGTAGCTGGGACTACAGGTGTCCACCACAACACCTGGCTATTTTTAGAGAGGAGGTCTCACACCCATAAACTCAGGCAATCTGGCCGCCCTGGCCTCCCAAGTGCTAGGATTACAGGCGTGAGCCATTGTGGCCCTTTTTCTACTTAAGTTCTTTGTTCATTCTATGAACTTTCTCTTGTTTACTTCTATTTCCTTTTTACAGTACATATTCCCAAATGCAAAGAAGATGTGAAACAAAAAGACAGTCTGTTGGAGGTGCCTTTATAGTTCATATTAAGCTGGTGATTCACATTTGCTTAAGAGGGAATGATGTCCCCAGCAGGACAGAAGGAAAGAATATTCAGCAGGGTGCAAGACCCATTTGTCCAAGCAGTTTTGGTAGTTGTATAAGTTCAGCTGCAAGTGCCTGAAATCCAAAATAACAATGGCTTAAAATAATATAAACATTTCTCTCTCAAGGAAAGATCTAAGACAATGCTCAGGGCTAGCTAGTGCTCCGAGATGTAGGTGTATCAGAGGCCTAGGTTCCTTTTATCTTGTTACACTTGCCTCCCCAGGCACTTTGTGGTCTAAGGTGTCTTCTTTAGGTCGACCCATTAAGTCCACATATGTTGCATACACCATGTTCATTTATAATCCAATTGCTCAGAACATAATCATTTGACCATACTACAGTGTAAGGCAGGGTAGTAAATCTGGTCTTTATTCAAGGGGTGGCCATCTGCCCAACAAAACAGTCAGCTATTTTATTACTACAGATGACCACAGTGCCCTTCAAAGATCTGTGGCCACCTCTAACTCGTGCACAAGACCAACACTTACACTATATACATATCGGTTAAATATCCCTTAGCCAAAATGTTTGGGACAAGTGTCCCAGATGTTGAATTTCTCAGAATTTGGCATCATACTGGTTGATCATACCTAATCCAAAGATCTGAAATCTGAAATGCTTCAATGAGCATTTTCTCTGAACATGACCTTTGCGCATCATGTTGGTGCTCAGAAAGTTTCAAATTTTAGAGCATTCTAAATTCCAGGTTTGCGGCTTAGATCACCCCCAGTTTCAATTTATTTGCCTATAACTACTTTTCCTTTGTCTTAAATTATTTCTGGTAAAAAGTATGGAGGGAATAAAAAGATAAATCATGGACTGGGCATGGTGGCTCATCCCTATAATGCTAGCATTTTAGAAAGCTGAGGTAGGAGTATCACTTAAATTATTTATTAGGTAGGACCTCCCTTCTACTTTTTTTTTTTTTTTTTTTTTAGGGAGTTTAAAACCAGCGTAGGCAACACAGTGAGAACTTAACTCCACAAAAAAAAAAGAAGAAGAAGAAGAAGAAGAAGAAGAAGGAGAAGAAAAGAAAAAGAAAGAATTAGCCAGACGTCATGGGGTACACCTGTAGTCCCTGCTATTCAGGAAGCTAAGGCAGGATGACCACTGAGTCCAGGACTCTAAGGTTACAGTTAGCCTTGTACTTTAGCCTGGGCAACAGAATGGGACCTTGTCTCCAAAAATAAATAAATAAATAAATAAATAAATCATTACACAATTCTCACTGAAGTATAACCATGCCACTTTAAATACAAAAAATATAAAGAAATGAATTTTAGAGAACTATTTATTTTAGATTTCCCTGGATATCCAATTAAATAAGTATTTATTCAGTCAACAAATATTTGAGGGCCTACTGTATAACAGGTATATTCAGTGTTCAGTGAGCAAAAAATACATATCCCTAGTCCTCTAGAAATCTATAGTCAATCAAGGGAAAGATAATAAAATAATTACAGAAAAGAAAATGACAAGTGCTATAATAAAGAAATTAGCAAGGATTACTAATATTCTGTAATAGAACGGGGCACAGATGGTGTTGACAGAGAGGGGAAAGCATGGATAAACATCTAGACAAGGGAAAAAATGGCTCAAGTGCAAGCATAGTGTTCAATAAATACAACTATAATGCAGTCAATGGCAAGAGATGAGCCTAATGAAATAAGCAGGATCATGAAGAGCCTATGACTTTAATCCCCAAAACAGTGTACAGTCATTGCAGAGAGTAAGCAAAGCACTAACATAATTAGATCTATACTTTAGAAGGAGAATCGGGGCTAGGAGTGGATGGTAGGAATGAGTTTAATTTTAGACACTGAAGTAGAGGTGCATGTGGAAT